CCCACACCCTTTTACTAGATTCCCCGAGTTCTATACAAGTTATTACAACCCAATGAATCAACTGAAATAATAGAAATACATCAAAAACTAACAGCTAGATCCAAGCAGCCTAATTCAATCTTAATGTCCAATAATATGTATTTAACCAACTCCGGGGTCCAGATCTCCAAAGCCTTCTCATTATCCAGGGTGTTTCAAAGTTTCAAGGAACCTCAGGGATTCCAGGCATTGCTTACACCCAGGATGCCATTATGAACAGGATGGTGCAGTGTGGAATAGCCAGCCCTCAGGCATCCAAGTTCAGAGGGAGCTCAGGGGTCCCAAAGCATGGCTTGCAAGAGAGGGGCAGAACTTATAGCTAGGAGTAAGTGCAAAGTGAAAGGGAATTAGGGGGCCATGACAGGTGGTGGTCATACCTAGCCATAAGGTAGGCTGGCACACCCCTGACCACTTGCTAGATGAACAAGTTAGGAGCAGACCTTTTGATGGTCAGACAAAGGTCTGGATAGTGATTAGGACACTATCAGACCTAAGTCAAGGCTCAAGCACATAATGGGGAGAATGGGAAGTGGGAATTGATTGAGTTAAGGAGTTCAATGAACCCAGTTCAGGATCATAGACAGCAATATTGGGGTGCTGCTATGCCCTGAACAATAAACTCACATACAAAGGGGTAAAAGGGGTAAGGGAATTCATAAAGCATCATATTCACAACAAACAAACAACTGCACTGATTATTTAAATGCTGGACTGTAAGAGAAGGGGAAACACGTTATAATATGCTAGAAAATATGTGGACAGAATTAAACACATTGTTCTTGGGGCGTATAAACTAATTGAAACATACCGGTATAGAAGTAAAGAATGCAGAAGAAAGCGAGCAAAGTCCACAGCAGTGTGAGTATCAGAAAGAGAGAGTGAAAGGGAATTGTGAACTCAGATGGTTTTCTGTGTTCGTGTGTAAAAGTGTAGAAGGGTAGCCTCTTTTATAGTGTAGAGAAGCAAACAAGAAAGGTAAGAAAACCCTTTTAAAAAAATCAGTCTCAAATATTCTCCTTTTAGTCAAGGGATTTAATTTCAAATGGAAAAGTGTAAACAAGGAAAGGAAATTTGAATAAAATCCTTCACAGTAGCATAAGAAGGGAAAATACACGAGGTATATTTAAGGAAAGGTTTCAATAGTACTTGATTTGTAAAGAGAAAAGAAAGGGAATCAATCAAACAATTAACAAAATCAAAGTACTAAGTTTAAATCGAATGAACCAAACCAGAAATAGGTAAAGAGGGCTTAACCAAAGAAAATCAGTGGCAATCAATCAAGACCCTATCAAAGGGATCCAAAATCAATCAAGCAATCACTAAAAACCTTGGAAGAGGAGCTTCTTGCATATAAAGCAAACAATTCATACAGAAGAGTTTAACATTGAAGTATTTAGAATCTTAAACAAAAGAATACGAGTTCAACCAGAGACTCATAGTGAGTCTGAAGGTACAGGGTCCCCAAAGTGGAACCCTAATTCAATTTACCAAGAAAACCCCCAAATTCTAGGGTTTCCCCATCGAATCAAACACAGAAACGAGAAGGCAAGTGAACAAACTCAAGGATTCTCATGCTCAGAAAAACTTTGGCATTTAAGAAAACATGCTTAACAAGAACACGAAATTAGTTCAGGAAAGCAAAACATCAAGAAACTCAGTAGTAAATATGCATGGTAGAAGAGCGAGAAAAACAGACTAATCATGTGAGCATAAATATAAAAGTAGAAAGACAATACATGCGTAATAGAGGAGGAAAACATACGAGCATAATACAGACAAACATCTAAAAGAAAAGAACAACAAGAATCGAAAGAATTTCAGAAACCCTAATTTTGAAAAACCAACGATTTTGAAAAGAAAATTTGGGGAAAACACTCAAAACATCAAATATAGCATAGGTTCAACACAGATCTAGGCAAATAAACAAAGAAAGAACCTCGAATAGTTTAGGGTTTCCGAGAAACCCTAGAAATGAGAAGGCGTGGAAAGGGTCTGGTCTCGAATAGATCTGAGCCATAGCTAGGCTCTTAAAGCTCGAACACGCCGGAACACGATCGGAGAGGCCATAGAACCACAGATCTGTGGAGGATCTGCTCGAACACCATCGAGGTCGGACCTCGGAATCTCGAACGACCAAGGCTTGGGGGAAAGGAAGGTGAGCACAGGACGTCCATGGCCTGAGAAGCCATGGACTCCGGTGAGATTGATCGGAGAAGACGAGGGAGGCGATTGAGGCTTCGAGTGCTAGGGAGCGTTTGAGAGAAGGAGAGAGTTTGGGGGCGGCTATCTGAGAGAAATGAGGGTTAGGGTTAGGTCGTTTGGGATTAAAAAATGAAAGGGTTATTTGTGGCCGTTGATCAAAAGGATCAACGGCCTGGATTCAAAAGAATCTCGGGCGGGTTTAGTTTAATGGGTCAGGGGTTGTGGTTAAATTAGAATTGGGCTGGCCCAATTGGGCATTAGGATTGGGGTCAATTGGGTTTAAGATAAAAATGAAATTGAGGCTATAATTGAAATGAAATTTGGCCAAAATTGAAATAGCCAGTTTTCCCCTGTTATTTTATAAAAATAGTGAAAATGATTTTAAAAGAAAATTGAAGATGCTGAACCAATTAATAATACATATGTATTAATTTAAAAATATTAGAACTAATTTTACAATTATAAAACACTATTAATCGTAAAATAGGCTATAATTGCCTTTATATGCAATTAGCTTTAAAAAATACCAAACAAATTTGTAAAAATATACAAAAAATTACCTTAATTATATTTGGTGTAAATATGAGAATAAAATAAGTTATTCACAAAAAATGATAACTTTGAGAATAATTATTGGATTTTGTACTGTTAAAATAGACAATAAATTGATTTAAAATAAGGAAAAATACCAAAACTCTTGGGAATGCTTATATATGCTATTTTGAGGATATTTTGAGTACATAAAAATACTTAGGGAAAAATTGGGTATCAACGCCTTCTTTTCTGCTCCTTCCAGCCTAGACAAATGATCAGCTACTTGGTTCTCCGTTCCCTTTCGGTCACGGATTTCCAAATCAAATTCTTGCAGCAGCAACACCCATCGAATCAGGCGCAGTTTTGACTCTTTCTTCTCGATTAAGTACCTGAGAGCAACATGGTTAGTATAAACAATTACCTTCGAGCCTATCAGGTATGACCTGAATTTGTCAAATGCGAACACCACTACCAACATCTCCTTCTCGATCACGATGTAATTTAGCTGGGCTCCACTCAGCGTTCTACTTGCGTAGTATATTGGATGCATGATTTTATCTTTTCGCTGCCCAAGAACTGCTCCCACAGCATAGTCACTCGCATCACACATCAGCTCAAATGGTTGCTCCCAGTCAGTGGCAACTATGATGGGTGCTATTACCAGTCTCTTCTTCAATTCCTCAAACGCTACCCTGCAGTCATCGAAAAACACAAAAGGGTGATCTTTTTCAAGCAATTTACACAAGGGGTTAGCAATTTTGGATTTTTTATTTTTATAAATCTCCTATAGAAACCGGCGTGCCCAAGGAAACTTCTAATTGCTTTGACGGAAGTGGGTGGTGGAAGATTTTCTATCACATCAACCTTTGCACGATCTACTTCAATGCCTTTACTTGACACTAGGTGCCCCAAGACTATACCTTCCTGTACCATGAAATGGCGATTTTCCCAGTTGAGTACCAGATTCGTCTAGATACACCTCTTCAATACTCTTCTCAAGTTTATAAGGCAGTCATCGAATGAATTCCCACCACTGAGAAATCATCCATGAAAACCTTTATTATTTCCTCTACCATATCCGTGAAGATGGCCATCATACACCTTTGGAATGTGGCAGGTGCGTTGCAAGCCAAACGACATTCTCCGAAAAGCATAGATTCCATAAGGGCAGGTGAATGATGTTTTCTCTCTGTCCTCCGAGGCAATAGAGATCTGATTATACCCTGAGTACCCATCCAGAAAGCAAAAGTGGGACCTCCCTGCCAATCTATCTAGCATCTGATCAATGAATGGCAGTGGAAAATGGTCTTTCCGGGTAGCCAAGTTCAACTTTCTGTAATCCATACAGATTCGCCAACCTGTGAATGTTCGTGTAGAGATCAACTCGTTCTTCTCATTTTTCACTACCGTCATACCTCCCTTTTCTGCAGACACTAAACTAGGCTAACCCAGTTGCTGTCAGAGATGGGGAATATGATTCCCGCATCTAACCAGTTAATCACTTCTTTCTTCACTACTTCTTTCATGTTAGGGTTCAACCTTCTTTGATGTTCTCTAGAAGGTTTGTGCCCATCTTCCAGTAAAATCTTATGCATACAGAAGGCTAGGCTGATACCCTTAATGTCTGCAATGGTCCGCCTAATTGCAGTCTTGCACTCCGTCAGTACCTGCAAAAGCTATTCTGCCTGCACATCTAATAAACTAGATGAGATAATAACAGGTAAAGTTTAGTTAGGTCCTATTGAAGGCATACCTGAGATGAGATGGTAGTGGTTTCAGTTCTAACTTTGGTGGCTCTTCTATCGATGGCTTAGCTGGAGGAGTTTTTCTTTCCTCTAAGTGCAAAGGCTTTCGAGCTCCCTTCTCCAAAAACCTTGGCCTTCAAGAGCAAGTACCCACTCTGCCAAGTCTTCTCCATTGGCTTCATCTAAGTTCAGGAGACAGGATGCTAGAGGGTCTTTATTGTTCAATGTTTCAGCCTCCTCCAAAACTACATCCACTGCATCTATTAGAGAGCAATTAGCAAATTCACTTGGTCGCCGCATAGATTTCTGCACGTTGAATGTTATCTCTTCATCATTTTATCTCATTTTGAGCTCTCCAGTTTCACAATCAATTAAAGCTCTCCCACTGGCCAAGAATGGTCTTCCAAAAATTATGGGAATTTCCTCATCAACCCGACAGTCAAGAATGACAAAATCTGTTGGGAACACAAACTTCCCTACCTATACTAATACATCATCAAGAATACCAGAGGGCCTCTTCATTGTCCGGTCAGCCAGCTGTAGTAACATGGACGTGGGTCTAGCCCTCCCAATACCTAGCCTTTTGTAGATAGCTAGGGGCATAAGGTTTATGCTTGCCCCTAGATCACACAGTGCCTTAGCAAATGTATAGTTACCTATTATGCATGGGATTGTGAAACTCCCTGGGTCAGACAGCTTCTCAGCTATGGGTCTCGTCACAACAACACTGCAGGTCTGATTCAGTGTAACCGTGGCCAAGTCTTGAAAGTTGAACTTGTGGGACATCAAGTCCTTCATCATTTTTGCACAACCAGGCATCTCCTTTAGAGCATCAATCAATGGAATGATTACCTGAATTTGCTTCAACATCTCCAACAATTTCTTGTACTGCTCATCTTTCTGATACTAGGCCAATCTCTGTGGGAATGGTGTTGGAGGTCGCTTCTTCCCTGTGATTTGATTTTTTTCTTGTTTAGGCACCGCCTCTACTATTGGTTCATGTGCAACCTCAGTCTCTTTCACAACCTCTTATTCTTTGTTGGCGTTCTCTTGTGCATGCTGTATCGTCACCTTAGTTAACCCTGCTGAATCATCTATCTCAATGGGTACTGGCACCAGTGTCTCAGTAGGTCTACTTTCACGAGCAATTTCTTGCTCCAGATCTAGGTCTCTACCATTTCGGAGACTCACCTCCATAAGCTGTTTGGGGCCCTACTCTTTTGGATTGATTTGTGTGTCTGCAGGTAATGTCCCGTGGGGATAATTGTTTAAAGTCATTGAAATCTGTCCTAATTGGATTTCAATATTATTTATCGCTGATTCATGTGAGTCTACTCTTTCAGTTAGTTTTCCAGTGGACCCAATCACTTGTTGCATCATTCCCTCAAGTTTAGCAAACCCATCTTCGTGTCTCACAGTCTGTTGTTGTTGAGGTTGTTGATAAGCCTGCTGCTGATTTTGCTGGTTGTAACCCCGTTGCCTTTGGTAAGGCACCACTTGACCGTGTGGTCACATAGCCCCAAGATTGTTGTTGTTGTTGTACTGCTGCGGAGCTGGTCTATATTGTTGATTCTGCTGACCCCAATTCTGACCACCTTGCCTCTGTCCCCCATAGTTGGCCACATAATTCATGTTCTCCTGATATTGTTGGTTATCACCTTCCACGCTCCAGGAGCAGACATATGGTTGATTAATGCATGATGTACATAAGCCCCCATTAGTTTCATCAGCTATGTGTACGTGCTGCTTCTGGCCTGATTCATCAACCTTTTTGGTAAGGATGGTCATTTGTGTCACTAGAGTGGCCATATATTTAGCTATGGAGTTAGTTGGGTCTAAAGCCACTGAGTGAGCTACAAGAGTGATTAGAGCGTTTCTTGTCGTCCATCCTGAGTTTTGTGCCATCTTGTCAAGTAGGATCTTGCTTTCTCTGAATGTTTTGCTCAAAAATGCTCCACCTGCTGAAGCATCAACATTGACCTTCAAGCTATCTGCCAAAATCATGTAAAACCTCTGCCCCAACATTTGCTCCGGAATACCATGATGTGGACACGTAACCATCAGAACCTTGAACCTCTTCCACGTTTCTTGTAATGTGTCTATTGGTTTCTGTCTGAAGCTTAATATCTCATCAATTTGTTAAGCAGTCTTATTGGGTGGGTGAAATTTATTCACAAATTGCTTGACTTATTCCTCCCAAGTAGTGATGGAGTTTATGGGGAGTGAATTAAGCCAAGTCTGAGCCGCTCCCGTCACTGAGAATGGAAACAACAACAGTCGTATTGCTTCCGTTATCACGTTATATTGCCTTTGCGTGGCACAGATCGATAGGAAATTCTTCACATGCTGCTGAGGATCTTCAACGTATGACCCTGAGAACAGTCCCTTGTTCTGCAACAAATATAGCATGTTATTTGTAATTTGGAATGATTCTGCTTGTATCCGAGGGACTACAATTGCAGTTGCTAAGTTGTCAGCGGTGGGTTGTGCCCAATCGTACAATGCTGCTTCTGGCACAAGCGACACCACACCCTGATTGTTCGGGTCATTCCTATTATTTCTGTTGTTTACTTCGTCTCCAATGTCTGGTTCGATTTGTTTTGTTGAGTTCTGTTGTTGTTTGCCTTTCTTGTTTGCGCGATTCAATGTCTTGAAAACTTTCTCAGGATCTGATAATGCTTCAAACAATTCACCAGTTCTTGAGGAGTTTCTAGATATGCACCTGTAACACCCAAGACTACAAATGTTAGAATTTCAATGTATTCAGTTTAAATTGAAGAAAGTTGACTACACTAAGAATTTTAGCACTTCTTTTAACTGCAACTAATAAAATCGTTAATTCTCTGGCAACAGCGCCAAATTTGATCACGCCCAACTATGCCTTATAAAAAGGACAAAGCGGTCGCTGCAAATATATTCCGGTTAACAAGTCCGGAGTCGAATCCCACAGGGAATTAACCTATCAATCACAACTATTGGACTTACACAAATTCACTTATTCAATCTTCGAAGATATTTAAGTAATGGATTGGATGTATAATAACTAAATATTATGTAATGAAAATGAGAACTAACTACGAACGAGTTGTAGACAAGAATTGGAATGATCTAAGGTTCTGATTTCCCCTATTGTCGGAATCTTTCCGCTACATTTGCTATAAATTTGCCTAAGTCTTCTCTATAGATCATGAGCACTCTGACTGTCGTAACTCTCTCCCGAGTAATTACAATAATATACTAGACATATTTTCCCGAATTATGCTAGCTCGCCTTAAGTACATCTCACTTAGATCGCACCTAAGGTTTCGTTATCCCTAATCCCACCTTTAAACCCTTTGTATTGATCCCTCATATACGTTAGGAGTGATGTTGTTCAACAACTACCTAAATATGCACTCTCTCCCGAGTAATGCACACTAAATAAGAACAGTTAATTGAGGGTCCTTCAATCAACAACAATAAGCATATAGTTGAACAAACAGAGAGAATACTATGGCAAATCTATATTAACGTAACAAGAACATTATCCTTCAACAGGTTCCATCAAAACCCTAGATTATGAGTTTAGCTACTCATACTCATAGTAACAATATCCAAAGTAATTTGCATAATTAAATTATAGAGTAAGGATAAAGGGATGTAGAAATCAAAGATTCGAACTCCCAAGTAGTGTTCCACGAGCTATTCTTGCCTCCGGTTGCAAAAGTCCTTCAAAGTGGAATTTTTGGGTCTATTTATATGTTTGGGACAAGCCCTAAACGTATAGGTCAACTTCTAGTCAAGCCAGGAAACGATTTAAGCCTTCAAAACTCGGATTGGACCTGGCCTTAAGCCTGGCGTCGCCAGGCTAACGCCAGCCTCAGCCTGGCTTTAAGCTGGTGTCGCCAGGCTAACGCATGGCTAGGCCTGGCTTTAAGCTGGCGTCGCCAGGCTAACGCCTGGTTAGGCCTGGCTTTAAGCTGGCATCGCCAGGCTAAAGCCTGGTGCTTTGGCCTGGCTTCTCTTTTTCACCGTTCTCGAGAGAACTTTCGGCGTTTAAGCATCCCTTTATCTCTACTTTCATTTCCAATGCACCTACACATAAAATAGACTCCATTACGCTCAAACAAAGTGTACTTTAACATTAAATCATGTAAAACGCAAGGCATATAATGTGCTAAACCATGAAATATAGCTACACATCATTATCTACTTACACATTTGTTGTTCACTGATAATTTGTCAAAAAGTACATGCTTTTGGTGTATTTATGTCCTAATATATAGTGTGATTTAATAAAAGTTATATGGTTAACTAGATGAATTTATGCACATTATGTGTCTTTTATGTGTATATACGAGTTTGAAGGAAAGTTGATTTAAAGTGGATGAATTGGTGCGAACCAAGATTAATAAAAAATAATTAAAAAAAACAAAAAAAGAGTTGAAGGCAGCTCGTCTAGGAATCATGCGTCGGGGGAGATGCGGACGAGCTAGGGGAGTAATTCTTCACAGCAAATAGTGAATTGGCTGTCATATCACGAGCCAGCGCGTGACCAAACGAGATGAAAAAGGCACTGGGAGCTCGTTCAAGGGGTGCGCGACACGCGGAACTCAGACGCAGCCTCAGCGATTCTTGGCCATAATTAGATTGGCTTGGACGACTTCTACCCACCCTAGGTCATATAGATGCCGTATGAAACGTCTTTTAAAGAGGGTTATACGTCTTTGGAGGAAAGAAATGTGCAAGGAGGAGAAGAACCCAAATTCAGCAATGATTTTGTATTTTTTTCTATTCTTTCTGGTTCGTGTATGAATTTTAACAATTGTTGTGAACACCATATTGTGAGTCGCTAAGTACTCTAGTTCTAGGATTGTAGTTGAAATGATTATTGACGTTTGCTGATTACTATTTTGTTAATATGAATTATCATCATTGGTTGTTTCTTTATTTCAAAATTTAACTTGTAAATTGTGTGGCTACCAATTTACCTGCTATCTATATTATATTTGAAAAAGCCATGTTTAGATTAGATTGGAATTAAAAGGAGTTTATTCCTTAACTTGTATCTCGAAAAAATATTTCCCGGTTAGAATAGGAATATTACCTAACAGTCTCATTTAGTTGAATGTCGGGTTATGTTCGTTCATGATAGATTCAATACCATAGAAATGTAGGACTGATATATTGTGAATAGGTAGGTAGTATTGTGGGAGCATGCTAGTCATATCAACGATCCGATCAACTAGCCACCATAGATAATTCGAATCAACGGGTCTAATTATAAAATTGATAAGATTAATAAACCGACCACATTCCTGAAATCTTCATCTAAATCATCTCAATTGGTTTAGTTGAATTAAAAATCATAAACATGTATGAGTCAAAATCTGACTTTGGCACGAAGAGGTATCATTAGAAGTAATATTAGCCGAGGTCGACTAACGACTGATGGATTCACCGCCGAGCAGTCGATCATGGCCGAGGTTGAATGTCAAGAATAATGGTAACAGCTAGTTTTGTAATATGATCTTTAGGAGAATATTCTACTAAATATTCTCTGTACTTGTACTTTTAGGGTTGATTAGGGGCATGTCCCATATAAATAAGAAGGGAGATATGGTGAAAAGGGAGTATTATTGATTCTGATAAGAACTCTCTTGAAAAGTTGACTCTAGAGATAAATACAAACACCACCTTTCTAAAGAGATTCGTTTTGTTGTTTATTTTATACTTTTCACATTAGATCCGAGAAAGTCTCCAATATTCTCATAGTTATTTGTCATACATCATAGTTAGAAGGAAGAATCAACCACCTCATTCAGTATTGGGTGAATCATTCTCCTTATTTACATTTAGTGTCGTTTATCGTTATTTAATGCTTGTTATTCTCATCTTATTATTGACCTTGAACATTTAATACATATTTGCATTAAATCTGTTCCGACACTGTCCTACATAATCCCAGTAGGCCGATTTTAGATATGAGGTTATTATCTTTAACTAGGATTAACCCCTTATCTTTTTAATTAATTAGTTTTACCAAAGGTTCATATTATATGGTCAAACAATTTGGCGCCATCTGTGGGGATTTCCTAGTCAAAATTTTAGTTTCTTTCAGATCTATAATTAGAAAAAAAAACAAATATAAAACGCAATACCCTACACTCTTTTTGTTTTGTTTTGTGCAAATCGATCTAACATGGCAGGTAATGTAG